ATTCCTGCACAATGGGTTTGCATCACTGAAAATTAGATTAGCACTACTGTATAGAAAACGTTTAGTGTGGACTATTGTGTCGGAGGCTGACTGCAAGGAGAGGATATTCCTGATCAGTACCTTTTTAATCAGTGATGGGTCTTGATTGTTTAAGCAGTTTTTTAAATTAAAAGAAAACATTTGTAAGATACTTTTGTAGATATTTATTGTCTGATTTTAAAGTGCAATATTTTTTGTACAGTGTTTAATAAAGATTTTTGGACATATATTTTTTCTTATTACCAAAATTTCTTATTCATCTTTTCCCTCATATTTAAAGTCTTCAAATGTTAACAAATAGCATTTTTTTGTTGCTTTAACTTTATCTTTGGTTAAGTATGCATGCTATACAGAAGCAGTGCTGTAAATGTTTGTTATTGCAATTGGCATGACACTCCTCTGTAGATTTATTTTATTGCTTCTCCAATAACTGAAGATTTTAGCTTTCTTGAACGTAGTTTTGATATTTCTGAAATAAAGTCTAGTTTGATTATTCAACACTGTGATTACCCAGAGATTGTTTATTACTGTGATTTTCACGGTAGCTATGCTTTCATTCCAAGTGCTATGTCCATAAATTCTGGGATTTTACCAAAGCTGAGATTAGTTCTTATTTTTGACAGTTTATCAGACAGATTCTCAGCTTCGTTTCAGTCTTCTTTGCATTGCTATTAAGAGGCACCATAGATGTAATCTGACTGAAAAAGGGGGGAAGAGAATTTGCCAAAATCCAAATAAATTAGATCTGACTCATTGAAATGTAGAATCACGATTCTGTAAAAAGGTGGAAGAAAGTTACATTTCTTTGCCAGGCCTTCATGTATTGCACCAAGCAGAGTTCATTTAGATCCAGCAGAACAGCTGTATGTTTTATATTGAGTGGGTGATGGGAATAGCCAGCTGAAAAAAACTGTTTCAGAATATCCAATGTGTGTTCTAGTCTTTAGAAAGAAGAGTCTTATAAATAATATAAACATGAAAAGCCTTCAGAAATTTATTACAATGAAAATAAATGTCTAGTGATAAGATGGGGGTGTTTCAGTTATCCTAAATGGTAACACTGGGAAAGTGCATGGATCTATTTAATTTTCCTTTGTGTCACCATTGTGCAGTCTGTACAGCAGTTCTGTGGAGTGTGCTGTATAGCATAGAGCATGAAAAGCACTTTCAGAATAGCAGTTGAATCCATGAGTAACTTTTCTGCTTATACATCCTGGGTTAGCATGACATCATAAAATGCTTTTTAACAGCTGTTGGTTTAAGAAATATTAGTTTTCCAGCCTGCTGTTCATTTTGTCTGCATTTCAATAACATGTTGCTTATGAAAAAGTTGAGCTCAAGTATTGAATACTGTCTGAAGGTTTGTAATATCATTTGATGTTTTTGCTGGAAGCACAATCAGTAGGTTGTGGCTCTTTCAACTGTAATGTAATAAAGGCTTCTTTCTTTCACTATTAAACATAGGGGAAAACATTATGGGTGAAATGAAAGGGAATATGTTCCCTCCACCCTAAAAAAGTCTTCAAACACATCTGCAGAGGAACTGTTAAATGTATCTGAATATGCCCTCCACTTCCTCCCAAAAATTTTTGTACTGTGCTGGTAGGTGGCAGCAAATGACTTTCCATAACTTAAGGGGAGGGGAAGTGACTTAAGAACTAAAAAAACATCTGGGCTCACTCACAGAGCCAGAGGAGGAGTGATTTTCAGCAGAACATGCAGGCACACGTAACTTCATGGATTCAGATTGCATTTCTCAATGAGGTTTTTTCCTCCCTAGAAAAGAGGCTTTGCAGGATGGTAGGATAGTCTGTAAACTTCTCATGAGGTACCAAGACTGCGTATAGGATATGGACATAGGTAGGTGTAACTGTGCACAGTTTTGACTTTGTTTCCTCAGTTGTGGCCAGACAGAGAATGGCTCAAGTTTCATAAAGAAAAGGGTGTTTGTAGTTTGTTTTCTTCTTTGGTTTAGAAGGATGACAATAAATTGTACTTTTTCCTGCCCTACTTCTAGGATACCGCAGATTGACTTTGTCTTTGTCCATTCTCAGTCCAAAACATGTCTTTACCAGCTGGCGATGTGAATAATCTTCAAAGAGAAAATGTCAATTGAAATGTTGTTTCTTTAACAGAGTAAGTCATATTACAAAAACACAGTACAAAGACAAAAATTGCCTAAAAGTAACCCATGCTTTAATAATGTCTGGAGCTCTCTCATACAATGCTTTTACGCACAGCTAATATACTCAGTCCAGCTTTCTTCCTTGCATAGGATCCAGTTCCTGCTTACGTGTTTCCATCATCAATCTTAGTGCTTTTATTGGTGATTTGGTTATGAAGACCGCATAATTCCTCAGAACCCAAATAACTTCCCTATACCAATGTGTACAAGATATGCCACACTGAAAAAAAATCACACGGGAGTACTGTGATAGAACATGATACTGTTAATCATAGAATTATTTATTGGGTTTTGCTTAAATCATGAATATCGTAGGACTGAAATTAGTTCATCTAGATTTCCCAAAATCAGGTGAAGAAGCATGGAGAAAATACTAAACATCTCATACAGAAGCATAATCACTGCAGGTACAATTTCTGTAAAAATTTTGTTTCCTGTGTTTTTTAACAAGTCATTCTCTGTAGAGCAGCCAGGCTGCAGCCAGGTTGTCTTACAGATTCCTGCATCTTGGCTGCTATTTTATTTTTAACTGAGTTTACACTGTTTTCTGTTATCTCTACATACACCTTTATAGTTTTCTGCCATTTTCCCCATCAGACTGCCTCTGCAGTGAACTCGGGCAGTGATAACAGGCTGCTTAGCTTTAAAAACCAGCAGGATCAAAAACTGCAGCGGGTGGATGTTAACTTTTTGAGCCTGATTCTCTCTGCTTCCTCGTCATCTACCTTAAAAACTTGAAACACAATCAGCTGTGACATTTCTCTCTGAAATCTGATTGAATTTGCACACCAGGTTTAAAAACTACTCAGGTGGGAAGGTCACAGTGTGTCAGTGTGTCCAATGCTGTGATTCTTTTGGGAGTAAGGCTGAAAAAGCATGGTCAGGGAAATTAGGAAACAGAGTCTAATGACCTGCTTTTTATGTCTGAGTGATCTCAGATATGTGCACAGGAGCAGAGCAAGGATACTTCTTATTAATTGCTGTCAGAAATTAGAGGGTGACATTTACACTCTCCTTGGAACTGAATGAAGGAAAAGTAATGATGACAAATGCTAAACCCAGGTTTTTAGGAATGCTGAGGTGTGATGGGATGCTATCTTATGATCGGGGCAGAAAATAGAAAGAAAAATCTTCTTATCAGATTTCTCAAAGTATTGATGAGATGAAAAACTGGACTGATGAGCTAATTATTTAGATTACAGCATTATTTGCTTACTATGAAAAGAAATTATGATCAAAAGATCCTTGCTATTTCATGAATACAGTTTTGATTTGTGGAAAATATGAAAGAATTAAATGTACAACACCTATGCTTGAGATGGAGTGTAATAAAATTTGGGAAGTCAAGGAAACCAGAATGCATGATCAAAAAAAAAAGAATAGATTCTGTGTAAGGTGCATTATTCCTATAAAATTTGGCAAATTTCTATTTTTCTTGTAATAAACTTCTGGTTTTGCTTTGATTTCCTTCAAGCTATTAGTTTAAATGCTTTTAAAAGCAGAATTTGCATTATTTGCTTTCAGTGTTATTTTAAAGAAAAAAATTAATGAGTAGGGCTTCAATTCTTTCACCGGGGTGCTTGAAATACTGCACTTCAGTACTATGACACAACAGCTATTTCCTTTGGGATAGGATTACTGTTTGGCTTGGAAAATTCTGGAGTACACTGGCGGAAGAATTTGTGACCATGAGAATCTGTGCTTACATAGACATAACCTGGAGGAGACGGATAATTTGCTGGGCAGATCTCTGGTTTCTTTGGAGTGTATTGTGTACGATACATAGTTTCATCTTGAAAAGGACCTGAATTAAGAGCTATAGCATGTACAGGTTTGAAACTTTGAGCTGGACTGATCTGATGTGGTGTGTAATGAGATTTGAATGTAGTTAAATCATAAAATTTTCCCATGGGTTTTGGAATTTCCTGCTGTTTCTTAATAATCTCTTGCCGACAGGTACCCCAAGCTTTAAAGTCTTCTTTCGTAGTAGTACTCCCTTGAAAAGGGGCATTGGTTCTTCTTCTATTAGAAACTGGTCTTATGGGGAAAGCAGGAGAAATTTCATGCTTAACGTAATCAAGATGGCTTGTGGAGTTAAAATCAATGCTGCCTGGGGGTGGAACATACTCTCTGGTCTTGCGGACCTCAGGTAAGGAGACCAGCCATGGCTGAAAACGATCCTGGAATTCAGTGACTCCATTAAAATGAGCAGTGGGGCCAACTTTTGCAATTTCAGGCTTGCAGCTTTTTGCAAGTTCCCCAGGCAGACCTTTAAAATCATTCCGGTGGGTTGTGAGATCTAAAAAGGGTTGGTTGCTTGGCTTGTACTCTTCTTTTGGTCTTATGAATTTTGGTTCCAGTTGATGAGCGATATAAGAGGTACGATGGCTGGTAGCACCATCAAAAGGCACATCTGAAAGCTTGGCTACACAAGGAGGTTTAAAACTTTGTCTGGGATTCAGTTCCCTAGGAACAAAGTTATCTTGAAACGTAGTAGAATTTCCAAACTTCTCTGTAGGTGGGTGGTATATACATACCGCTTTAGTAGGTTCCCTTCTTGGAACTTCCCATGACCTGTAGTCATCTTTAAGGCAAAAGCAAAACTTCACCATGCAAGTGTAATTACTTTAAAACTAAGTCAAGACCATTCCTTTAAAATTAAGTCAAATTATTCTAGTATTAAATCTTGCAAAACAAATACAATGGATGTGAGAATGATAATGTTTTCTGCCTGTTTGTGATCTGACATAACCGTCTTCTATTATTGGTATGATAAAAAAAGACAAAAAAATGTACATGATGTCCTATTTTGACTACATCCTCAAGGAAAATATTGCATGTGCATATTTAATGTGTGTTCTATGTAGAAAATAGCCTACTTGCATGTAGGCTAAATATTTAAATTTCCTTAAAAATTATTTGCAATTAATAAATAGAAATATAAATGCATTTCTATCTAGCATAGGCTTAAGCTTAAAGAAACTGGTGAAATATAACTGGGTTTTTTTAAGAGGCTTTCCCCCATATTTTACCCTTCCAACTCTTTCTGTCTCTGTACTCTGTCCTCTGCTCACTTTGCACCAAGCATTCCATCTTCCTGCTTTAATAGCCATATCTGATTCTCATTATTTCAACGATATTTCAGCACTTTAACTACAACCAACTTTTGCCTCAGATAGTCTAACCAAACATACGTTAACAGTTTCTCTCCTTCTAGCCAGGAAAACCTTAGAGAAGGTTTTTTGTTTAGAACCAACAGATGTCATCTCTAAACTGGAGTGCTGAACATCTTGATGCATTATCATCTGCTTTCTGTTATGTCTTACTCTCTGGCCCAAACTAAAAAATCCAGTTTCTAATATAGATAATTCAGAATACTACCTTCATCTTAGTTATTTCTCTTTCTGAAGGTGGCATATATTATTACCTTGATAGGTTGGTATGGTATCCAGTTTTCCTCCTGTAGTGTGTTTTCTCTCTAGAGGTCTTACTAACGTCACTGGTTGTATTTTATGAGCACTGTAGTCTTTCTGGTATGTGGTTCCCAGTTCTCTCTCTCCTGTCTTTGGTTTATATTCTTCTTGTACCTGAAAATGTCGCTTCACAATATCGTATGGTAAATAATCAGATCTGAATTGGGGAAAAAGAGAAACACTGGTTAAAAAACTTATTCTTTTCTGGTGGAGTCACTTTTGTCATTTTTCCATTATATGGAAAAATGAGAACTTATAATGTTTACTCTGAAAAATCAGTCTCTTGCCATTTGTTAGATGGATAGCAAGGAGGAAAGAAAAACATAGCACATAAAATACGGGCACATTACATTAAAAGTATACGCAGTACACAGCCAGTTTTGCAGAATGGCATTTGGCCATTTTAAGAAATAAATGAAGTTTCACCCTCTTGTCCTTGTAGCTTAAAAGAAGAAAAAAGTACTAAAAGTATTAAAAGTAAAAGTTTATACTCCTGTCACATTATTAATAAGGAATGAGTGATGTCTTCTTCCTAACTTCTTGAAAGATACTGTTTAATTTTGTAAGCTTAACATCAGTGTGCACTGATGGGACAGACCTACTGAACCCCTTTAGAGATGGCTTTCTTCAAACTTGTAATAATTTAGAACTGTTCGAATAAAATAAAAAGAAAAAAAATCCCTGATCCTTTTTCTTTAGGTTTAATTTCCCCACTGTCTCAGATTCCACACATGTATTACAGAAAGTTGCCCAGCTTGCCAGCTTTTTTCATGCTAGACGAGATTTGGATTTCCAAAACAGGCTGAAAACAAGGACAAAAATTTGTTGTTATCTTTACAGGTTAAAGGATATGCTGTAAAGCATGCAAATCTTCTTGTATGAGTGCTTCACTGGTTTTGAATGACCTTTTTGTGGTAACTATATTTCTACACTCAAAATTTATACTTTCAAATACGCTTAAAGTGTAAAGAATGCAATGACTGCATTTTGAAAATGACTGCTACACAATGTTCAGTCCCCCCTTAGAGAAAAGAAAGCATGAAAAACTTTATGGAGTAGTTGTGAAACACATTGCTTCAAAAGGCTTACTTAAATGTTGTCATTCCTTCCATTTTCCCATGATGCACTTGGTACTCTTGTTTCGGCTTAAAGCTCCAGGGAGGAGAGATGTTGCTATACTTGGGATATTTTTCCACATACTCTGTTGTGAGGCACGGCTGTTGTCCATTATCATAAATCCTTGTGGGTTTATGAGGGCAGCGATGGCGCCTGGGTAAAACACATCAGATGAGATCATTTTGAATAGTTTCATTTAAGGGTAAAACCCATACTCTATCTATGGAGTGGATAACGGATGGGGAAGATTGAACAATGTCAGTCACTTGTATTTAAAATAATTTCTGAGTGATAAAAACCCAAAATCCTGTGCTGATGGCATAGGTCCCAGAGCACAGTATACTAACACAGTAATGAACAGCATCAGGATGTGAATTAGTCCTTAACAGAATACGAAGGATGGATAAAGCTGATCTCAGTCTTCTAAATGATGCTACCACCACAATGCACTTTCTTCTCTTTTAATCTTTAGTAGTATTGCTTGTCTTATTTGTAAAAATAACTGTGCTTCATTTCTCCTCTCATATTGTCTCTTTTTTGCTGTTTTCCCTTATTGCTTGTCTTTTTATTTCTGTGCATCTGCTCACCTATTTTCACCACTACTCTTGGTTAATGCTTTTTGATAAAAATTTTAGGGGTGTGAAATCTCCTCTGTGCTTCTAGAGCTCTGCAGACCATTTCTGACTTTTCAACCCTTTCTTTAAAAGGACTGACTAAATCCTCAATCCAAAACTATGTTTAGAAGTAATGACTTCTGTTTTTCTTAATAGGTTTTATTTCAATTACACCTTCTTGTCATTGCCTATTTTAATGACACCATTCTGTTAGAAGGTGCTAAGAGGTATATCTTGACTTAATTTGCTACTTATACCTGTTGTTTTGCATAAATTAATCATGGAATTAAAATGTACATGTTATTTTCTATATTGCTTTGAAAATCTTGATATATTTATTCCAATTTGCATAGCACACATCTCTGGCAGTTTGTTTCAAGCATGATTTTAAAATTTTATTTTGGCTGATGTGATTATTATTTAATCTCTCTTTTAAGGAGATATATCATGCAAGATGTTCCTCCTATTTGCAGCTGACAATTTGAAATCCTGGTTCAGATATAAGCAAAGGAATATGACAATAAATATATCTTAAAAATAAATGTGTTCTCTGAAATTCAGTACATGAAAAGCAAAAATAACAAGAAGGGTAAAAGAGTGCAGCTCTTACTGGGTATGAACAAGTTTCAGGAAGCTAGTTCAAAGGTCTGAAGAGAGATTTAGCTCACACTGAATACCAAAAAAGAAAAAAAAATAAATTAATTATAACAAGGTAAAATAGAATACAGAAAAATTCATGAACGACTCCTGCTGGGAAAAGTAAAATGAAAAACCCACAAAAAATAAATACAAAACCCAACCAAACAGTAAAAGAAGTTATCTGGAACTGGAGATCCCTAAAGCTGGTATTAGTTTAGGCTGCCTGACTTTGCCAGCTCAGTAGTCCAACAGATGAGAAATGAAGTAGCCCTGTATAAGAAGCCAGATCCTTTCAATGCCTCAGGTGCTTACTCCTTTTCAATCAAGTCAACAGACAGCCAAGTAACAATTGGACACCTATTCAGAACACAGCAGGGAAAAGGAAAGAAAAGGAAAGGCAAGAAACAAGGAGGTGAGTGTATGCTATTTCTGAGCATTTAAATAAATAAAAACTTACTAAAATACCAAACACGACTCAATGTTTTTTATTTTTTAACTGCCAGTGCACACACTATGGTCTGAAAGACAGAAATTAGGTATGGACATTGTAATTTTGAGATTCATCTACTTTCCTAACAGGAAAAGGAGACCTGATGGGTTTTACTTGGTTTGTGTATATTTATGTGTGGTCAGTATGAAGTTTTAAACATGCCGTATTTTAGAGAAATCTTCCTCTTTTCTGTTAATTGACATTTATTCAGGAATCTAGATTTTTATGATAATAAAAGTGCAATAAATGGGGAAAGGCTGACATTGAGAAGAAAATAAAGCAGTCATTTTATATCTCAAGCCTAAACTTCTATACTTCTGTATGCTGTGATTATTTTTATAGTAGACAAATACTATTCTTTACTGTAGAGAGTTCATCTGCCTCAGAGGCTTTATTCTTTTGGAAGCCAGATTTAACATCCTGTATTTGCTGTTCAACATTTCTATTGAGCCAGTGATCTGAAGCCTGACTTTACTTGCTAGAAGGAGGTAAATTTTCTCTTGTATTAAGCTAACATCTTTAGAACCTGTGGGAAATAAGGAAACAATAATACTTCCTTCTCTTTATGGATCCAATCCCAAGTAAGACTAGCTCATTCTTCCTCCACATTAAAAATATACCACTTCTAAAATAAGAAATCGATCTGGACTATCTTAGGAAACAACATGAATTCCAGCCATTACTCTGCACAATATAGTTTTAAAAACATTTGTATGGTTTATTAAAAAAACCCCAACAAACCAACCTCCAAAAAAGCTTACATCTCTACCACAGCAGCTTGAAATTGACCGTACCTCCTTGGCAGCATCTATACCACTGCAAAAGTCACAGCATTATAGAATCCCAGGATCATTTAGGTTGGAAAAGACCTTTAAGATCATTGAGTCCAACTGTTAACCCAGCACTGCCAAGCTCACCACTAAATCATGTCACTCAGTGCCACATCTACACATCTTCTAAATACCTCCAGGGATGGTGACTCCACCACTTCCCTGGGCAGCCTGTTCCAATGCTTGGCAACCCTTGCTGTGAAGAAATTTTTCCTAATATAAAGTCTAAACCTCCCCTGGTGCAGCTTGAGGCTGTTTCCTCTTGTCCTAAAGTGGAGCTTAAGCTCGAGAAGCTAGAAACTATGTCAGTGATTAAAAATGGAGAAGTCACCAGCACTGGACCTATTTTGCAAATTGATGTTTGAGCATGCTCAGCACTGGGTACATCTCCAGTGGTTTTGGCATTACAATTACTTGTTGATTTTGAAAAATATCACTTAATACACACAGCAAGTGGTTCTGTCTAATAAGGAATCTGTTCAAAATATTCTTAAAAATACAATTATTCGATTAAGAGCCTAAGACTGCAACTCCTAGATGTGAACACTGCCACTCAGATGTGGCAGAGTGGACAGTGTATGCTACAATGCAAAAAGAGGAGGCTCTTATCTGCCTGTAAAGAGAAAGCAGAATGAATTTCTGTCTTAGTGACTTTTCTCCTTTGTATTTGTAAAAATTTTTCTGAGTGTTTTTTTGCCTGCGAACAGCTAGGAAAGATTGTTCTGTTTGATTATTTAGAATTAAGCAGTATGTGATAACTGTAGCTGTTACATGATAACTTCTACAAAGTATTAGATCTTTTTCTCTGCTTTGAAACCTCTTTGAAGATATGTATGTGTGACCATATCCAGGTAATGCTGCCAAGCAACCAGTCTTCCCCTAAAACCAGAAACACTAACTGTAGTGAAGCAAACACAATGTGCTGCCTAAACCAATAATGGCTTAAGATTGTGTTGACTATATAAACTTCAGTGATGTTTACTTTAAACTGTAAGTTTTGTGCATGTTTTATTCAATTATTTATATTGTTAGGCTGGGTTTTTGAATTGAGAGTTTTTGGTTGAGTTGAACCTTGTTTTGTGCTGTCAGATTGCATTAAGTCACCATCTTTATACTTGAGCCTGAACCAGATTTGTTATCTCGTCGTGAAAACAATGTGTTCCAACTCTTCATTAATGTAGGACTTTTGAAACATATTTATGGGGCAAACTACAACCACAGTCTTGGCCAAAAAGGACATGAGGAGCTTTACACACTGCCTGCCTCTCATGTCTGTGTACAGATTAAAACCCCCTGTTGAACAGATAGACAGACTTATACAGAAACACATAAGGGCTGTGTCTGCCCTACAAACCCCAGAATGAAACCTGTAGTTCCTGGTGCCCTCTGCAGCCATAGGATTGGCCCTGTACTTCCAAAACAGTGATCACACTCTTGTGTGATCACACTCTTGTGATCTTCTGATGATTGTCATACGTATGTAGTTGTTAGACTTTTTTTTTCTTTTAATATTGAAGAATGCATCTTTGAGTCCTAGGATGATAGTTTTTGGGGGGGTTTTGGTCTTTTTTTGGTTTGTTTTTTTTTTTTTTTTTTTTAGATTTTCATTTACTTTTTTTTTTAATGTAAAAATAGAAGAAATTGAAAATATTAATAGTATTGACTCCACACTTAAGACCATCCATCTGGATTTTGCAAGGTTTAAATCCCTTATGATTTTGGGAAACCTGACTTGTGATTTTTTTTATGTATGGCATTGATGATAATGCTTACAGAATTCTAACAGTGATTTAAAAAGAAAATTGCCTGCTGCACACTCTTACACCAGCCTCCCTGGGCCGAATAAGCTACAGCAGAAAGATGAACTATGTGTCTCTACATGGGAACATCGAACGTAAAGAAATAGTGGGGCTTTCCTTCCAAGTGGAGACTGTTACTGGATGCGACATTAGAAAGGCAGAGATATTAAATATATTTTAAAGGACACAGCTCTTGCACAGGTTTCTGTCAAGGTTGATTTAGCCAGAACAGGTTTCTTTGGAGCCCTCAGTAAGAGTTGATTCTGCTTCATGGGGAAGCCTGATCCTGGGATTTAGTCTAGTTGGCTTTGAAAGACTTTACCTTAACGCTTCTAAGACCTGCTTTTTCCCCTGCCTGATTTAAGCACAAACAAACTACTTCACATTTACCGAGAAGGTCCCTTTAGAACGAAAGGGAAGGAAGAAACTGTTGAAATGGGAATGCTTCTGCCTTCCTACCGCTAAGGACACTCTCCGCGGCCCGGCCCGGAACGGTTGGGGGTGGGGTGGGAGCAGGACGAGGGTTATTTCTGTGGG